TTTAAATACAAAAAAAAAATAGGGATCGGGTTTAAATTGCTATACAGACAACAATTAATATACAAATAATGTTATATACATAATGAACATGCATAAAAAATWTATTTCGATAACCCAACAAGAAAATTAAACGCTATGTACATATTGTTACAGTAATTATTATATTAAAATTTGTGACTTAAATCTATATCGAAATAATTTTACATGCGTATTTGTATGATACAACATAAAATAATATATTACTACATATTATATTGKGTAGCCCTTAAGTAGGTACATGGTTGTTATAATACAACTCGACTTTTCTCACAACCTTCGGCCATAAGTATATTATATTTTATCACGATGTATGGTTAGTTATATAGCTTGATGGTGTGTTTCGCAAGGGAGTCGTCCGGCTCACAATACTGCTGGTCTGTGGGCATGCGGGTGGGTGGACGAGCGAGATGAAAGAATTCGTGACGTTTACCACATGTTAACTACCTACTACAATCGTATTGTACTGATTTTAAGTATAATTTATAATACCTATACAAACACACATAAACGCGCCGCATACGTATTGACCGGAAGACAAGTATCAAAACCATAACGGTTGTTTGTTTGTTGCTTTCACTCGGTCACCCAGCTCCGCCGCACACTCTGCAATGGGACGGTCACTGGCGACTACAATATAATATTATTTCTAAAAATCGACTACCGACAACAATAATCGTACCCACAACACACAACAGTATAATAATAAAATCAATACCTAATATTACACACATAGGTGTGCACGTCGTGACTTGTATTATTATATTGTTAAGGTATATTATAGGTAAATGCATCATAACGCACATCCCTTATACGAGCAAATAATATTGGCAATACAATTCAGAATGTGGCATTGTGGCGCTTTTGAGTTATCGTTGTCGCATCGTAGTATAATAATATAACACTATATTATTGCCATTGATATCCACTGCATTATTATTATATAATAATATAGATCTTACAAAATCGTTTATACAGTTCTGATAAAACGTTCTTCTCGGTGGCGAATGACCACGGCCCCCATGGCGTCACGCAATGTCCGTARACAAATCATATTCATGTAGTATGTGTACCTACACAGGCAGGTAGGTAGGTTTTATTTTTAGACTTACTATCCGTACCAGTGTAATTATTATAGAATTGTAATTTCGATACGTCATCTGTACGCGCCGCAGTGTTAATGATATTCAAGACGTGGAACATAAACGGACCGTGATGTTGTAAATAGTATTACTAAAGTGTAATAAAATATATATAGTGACATGTTACAGTGCAGAAGATGGCTGTAGTTTTGTTCTTCTTCATTTTATAAATAATTGTCCGTGCCCGATTTTCAGAAAGATCTGTTTTGTAAAAGACTTGACGGTTTTCGATTTSTGTATCATTGTACATGAAATTATTATTGTTTATACTCTTATGAATCGTCACTATATTATTATATTATTATTATATTATTATATTATTATATAGTGTAGATAATGGCTGCATGACTGTAGGTGCGATATAGAACTACTCAACGCGTTGCAGTACTTCCGTCCACAGCAGTAGAAAGCATCTACAGCCACGTTTTCGCTTGACGTCTGCTAAATATGATATTATTAAATAATCGACCGACTGCGCCCGTAATCGGTACTTATGTGTAGTAGGTACCTATGAATTTATAGGAACGACGTACTCCATCATATTAAGAACTATAAACTACACAATCCGAAATTCCAAAAAGAAAAATCATTTTCTTTGTTAAARAATGCAATCCTATTGATATAATGAAATGTGCRGTTCAACGTAACTTGCAGGTAAACGTGGCGGGTTGTGGGTTTTAGGTGGAAAAGTTGTTTTCCGGCGAAAAGTCGTCGGACCGGGATAGGTTATCCGGAATGATCAGTACCATGTGTAGAACGGCGGATGCGTTTGTCGGGGCTGGTAGTAAGCGGCTGAAGTGGGGCTCATCTGACCTCCCATACAAGTCGACGGTATGAGTGCGGGCTGTGGGCTTATCCGCGTCGGGTTCATGGGTGGCATCTGATGGTGTCCACCGACACCGACTCCACCGCCGATTCCGAGGCTGTGGTGGTTGGCCAGCGCCGACCAGCTGGACGGACTCTGCATGGACACCAGTTCGGACGACGACACAGTAATTAGACTGTCACCACCGTTTGCTCCTGTCAAAAACACACAAAAGTTCAACTTTAAGTACAGGCAATGAATACATAGATAATATACTTAGATTATTAAGGTCATTGGTGCACCATATATTATACCCTATACAGCTATAATTTCGTCGAGTATGGTATAGATAAATTATAACAGATAACAGATTAAAGACACAATGTAATTCTTACACTACTCAGCTGATTAATAATGCACAAATCAAACCATTTTTTACCCCTTTGAAAGAAAATTAGTTTTTCCAACACTACGATAATATTATAAAACGTACTATGTAGGTTGGTATCCTATAAATAAATTCGTGTCACGTAATATATGAGCCAAAGTAAAAAATCTTATATGAGAACATTCGTGAAAAGCAAAAACCATTCTTCATAAAACTTATATAGTTATATGTTTAAAGATTTTTAGTAATTTATAAATTCGATATTTCAAATTTAAAAGTATGTTTATATTATAAGTTATAACCTCTCGAATAAAGTACTAGAACGAAAATAAAATATACCTACACAAAATCCGTAATATCAAATATATTATTTCGCGAAATATCATTAAATAATACTCCATAGGCTTATCTGCGTGGAGATGTACTCGTGTAATGCGTTCACACAGAGTTTATGGAATAAAATCGTACTATAAAAAAAAAAATATATGACGACTACTACTGGTACAGTCAGAGACGCCCGGCGCCCCGCCCTCATTCAGTTAAAAATTATTATACTTGGTTTAAACGTCCAAAGGTGTAATAATAAATAGAACCAAAATTAGCAAATTGAATTACTCTAATTAAAATATACCTATATAGGTATACTGATGTAAATAAATATTCGAAACTCTATTTAGATTGTTTAATTTATAAGATTAAACACAAGTAAAAGTAAATAAATATGCAAGTTAAAGTAATACAATAATTATAAATTTAGTTTAATGGTTAAAGTTTTTGACGAATGAAGTAGGTATAATACAAATTAATAAAATGCACTACATCGAAAGAAAAAAGGATGCAAGTAGTCGACTTTGTATTTCCGATCAATAAGGCAAATTCACCTCCAAGTATACTGCAGCACATTGCACATATTTACCTATTATACCTATCAGCTCTCCGTGTCTCCGTCACACATTAAAGCACATGCATGCCGAACGTCGGATATACGGTGCAGCAGTCGAAGGGCCATAGCTAGGAGTACTGGAGTATGGAGATGGTTATAAATTATAATGCTATTTTAACTTACCGTTCGATTGTCCCATGAGTGTGATGTTGGCCGACACCGGAGACAGCTGATGGTGCGTTATCATCGTGGGAGTTGAGTTGGTAGCCGCCGAACCGATCTGATAGGACTGCGAAGCTGCCGAGAGTAAGTTCGGCGACGATGCCTGGTGATGGCCGCCGCCTTGACCGATGTGCAATTGTGAGAGCTGACCGCTTCCGTTCAACTGTCCCATCTGCAAGACGATATAAAAAATATAATTCTTACGTTATATTATAATTGTTGATCGAATACGATATAATGTATGGATCACGCTAGGTGGTATTTCAAATCGTACTATTGGTATTACTGATATTTTCAGTGAATCTATTACTATGTTTATAATATGATAACATGATGGATGGCATTAATTTAAAAAAATGTAATAAAACTTTAGTAGAACTGTTTTGATTGTGATGATTGTACTTAATTATTGTTTGAAATAAAAAGGTTACAACTATTTTTAAATGTTGAGAGGGCGGAGCTTTTAAGAAAATAAAAATGGGAATTGAATTAAAAAGGTTCCAGTTAATAGTTCTGCAAATCAGTCTTGATCAGAGTCCTTCAAATTTTTATAGTCATGATTTAGGGTTCATGTTATAGTTTACAAAGTACGACAACAGCCGATGGACCATTTATGTCCATATGTGGTTTAATCACTGCACCAAAAATAAATTTTTCGATACCGGTGAGCGGCGGGGCATGACTTCATGATACGCTTTTTTATTAATTACTTTGGCATGATATGTTTGGTACAATCGGTGATTATAGAATCACGGTATTCACAAATACCGAAAATATCGAATGTCGTAAATAAACAATACCGGTAATTACCAGTATACCGAAATTATACTCAGTTCTA